CCCCCCCCCGAAGTGCTATAATCACAGCAAATCTGAAAAATTTGTTTTGAAATGGTCAAAACAAGTTGTTGCAACTTTCCTCTATAAGGGTTTTGGTTTTTTTTTCCCCCTCCCATTATACATATCATTTCTCAGAAATGATAGGAATCCGTAAAATATTTCTGGGACACCAAGCATTTTCTCTCAAAAGAAGTTTCTACCAAAAGAATCAACATTTCCCTCACTTGTGATCTTCCTCAAAGGTGCACGTGATTTAGTGATAAGAGAACTGATTCCTGTGTGAATACCCTAATCAGTGTGTTCCTTGCTAAAATTAATAATATCTCAGACCTCTGAAAGAATGCTCTTCAAATAAAACCTTTTTGCATTCATATATCCCAACCTGAAGCAGTGTTAGGCAGGACCTTTGGATAATTGGATAGCTGTTTGCACATTCCCTGTGGGTCCTTGTTCCCTCCACAGAGAGCTATTTCAGTGAACCTAATTCACTCTCAGGCATATAATCTGAAATCTACCATTGACGATTTCTCCTCTTCTGACCTAGATATCATGCCTGGGAATCAAACTGAGTCGATAAATGAAAAACACCATGAACTCCACATCTCTCCTTCACGTGAAACTCATGTTGAAACGTAAACATTGCCTCTCAACCTGCTATGTGTAGTCCCTCGATACTGCTATGCTAAAAACATCAAAAGATGCAATGAGAAATAAACAAAAACACTTTAAAGACATGTTTCTGTTTAGTTACATAAATCAAGGCATAATGGCAAGAAACCGAGGATTTCATGGGATACATAGTTTAGCTGCATGTAACCTCAGAGGACAACGACAAACAGAACAAGAAGAGAACTTGAGCAGGATTTCATAATTGAATAAATTCCATCTGTCTCCTGAACCATTTGTCCTGATCAGCAGCTTATGGAGGGAAACAATTTACCTACCTCATTAGTTGTGAGAGTGAGAATCCGATCCAAGTCTTCCACCAACTGTTTAAAAGTCGGTCTCTGTGAAGGCACAGCATGCCAGCAATCTCTCATCATCATATAGCTGTAAGAAATACACATTTTCTTGGCTTAATTAAAATCACGCGTCCTTCTCGTAAACCTTTTCATACACAGTCAACGTTCTTCATCACAAGTAAAGCAGCGAGCACTCACAGCCCTACACATGGACCATTGACTTTCCCAAAACTGCACAATACTCTCGCTTCCCTCAAAGGTGCATTTCTACTCCTTTATCTCTCTTGCCTAGTATTTAAATTACCTTTTGGGGGACCTGATTCTGTAGCCTTCTGTCCCAGGGATTTCAATGGTAATAAATTACACATGCTTAAATATTTTTGCATGTTAGGGATTGCGGTCTTTGCGAAGTGAAGAAATAAAATGGGGGGGGAAAAAAAAAATAGTTAAGGGCTATACTGAAATATCAGAAAGGGAAAACACTCTTCCCTCATCACCAGAAGATCAATGCTGTGTTAATGCAGAAGTTCCCAGATGTATTTTGTTGTGTACAAAACCAGCCTGATGTACCTTACATATGATTAGTGGTATGTGTGCCATTTAGGAATTGTCATGTTAATGACAATAATAAATAAATAAAACAAATATAGGCGTAAAAACACTGACGAAGACTGGCTTGTAGATGATCACTTCTTTTTTCAATGGGATCACACCAGGGTGTGTAAAGAAGTATCCTCTGTCAAACACTTCCTGAAGACCTTTTCATACCTTTTCTTTACATATCTATACACACACACATATATCCACAATTTTAGAGGAAAGCAATCCTGAAAATGTTTGATTCTGCCAGGGGTAGCATTAACCATGTGAATTCAATACGGTTGTGCCCTTCCATCCTCGTACAGCAAATAAGGGTCCTTACAGTTCATTGGTGCAGTTGGCAGGTTTATCCATTCGGTGCCCTTCTTTAAGCAGCTTAAAAAGTTCCTCCACTGGAATTCCTGGGTAGGGCGATCCTCCTAATGTGAAGATCTCCCACATTAACACACCAAATGACCAACTACAAATCAAAGAGAAAACAGCATTAGAAGATCTGCCTTACTGCTGAAAAGAGAGATGTGTCTGCAGCAGATGCAATGACTGCCAATTCCTCTCAGGAGATACTTAAATAATCAGCATCTGCCCAACTCTGACCACCCTGAGCAGGACATCAGTCTGTGAAGTGCATCAGGTGCATGGGCTGCAGTAGGGGCTGACCTGAGCATGTTCTCAAACACACTCTTCACCTTTGTCTGGTGTGCTCCGAGCACAGGAGTTTCCAAGGCTACTGCAAAGAACTGCATCTTCACAGCTTAATTATTTACAGAACACTCACAGCTGAGCTGGTTTGCAATTATGTGGCAGGATATTGTGGAAAAAGCAGGCTGTTCAAAACAAAAATATTTTGCATCATTCTGCTCTTTTTTTTTTTTTTTTTTTAATTAAGTTTTGTTAGGAAATTAAGTAGGATCATTCTAAGTCAGTTTGCCACCTCCTCCAGAGCCTGCCTCATCATGCCTTGCTGGCAACCTAGGGCTCTTTGGCAGGCAGCTTTGCCAGGTGAGCAACAAGCACACAACTTGCACTGGCTCCCAAGCTTCTCTGCAGCTCTCCTAGCTTCGCAGCAGTGTATTTTAGTAAACTGTTTGCATAAACTTACAATAATATTATCTTTAGCTGTCTTCAAAGCCACCATTGGGCCAAGAGCCTCCAAGTTCCAGCACTGAAACCCTCGTGCTCCCTGGTTGCTGAGGAGCTCAGACCAACTTTCAGTCCTGAACCAGTTGACTTCACATTCACTTAAATATTTTGCCAAGATGTTATTTTAAAACAAAAGTTTGATCCACCCTTAACCTGTGTATATATTTTCCTTTGTAAATAATATAAAGACTGCAGGAAAAGCCTCAGTAAATGCTTTTCTTAATGAGAGAGCAGCTCAGGAAGTGCACCCAGGTTAAAGAAAGAGGAGATGCCTCTTATTTTTTCCACCCTGCCCTTTTTCTTTTTAACCCTGCACTGACATGTGTAACCTTTTACACCTGTGCTGGGAAGAATCCAGCCCTTTACAGTTAACAGTTTCTCTTGGAGAAATAAAAAACAAGATCTTCATCTGCATTGCATAAAAAAATACATGTCTACTTCAAGCACAATTCACACGAGTACTGTAGATGGGCCTAGGAAACTGTAATAGGAAGCAGAATAAATCCTGAGCGGTTGCATCAGCCACTAACTCTGTGCACAGATTAAAAGATTTTGAAGTGTCAGAGTCCAATGATTTTCTATTACATGTGAAGTACTGCTGGGAAGCAACAACACTTCTAAAAATCAGAGAATGCTTTTCTGGTATATGCAGCCTATGTTTTATTATACTGAATCTTAGCACAAATTTTTATAAGAAATTTTCAGGAATTTTCTTTTCTTTCTTTCTTTTATTTCTCTCTCTTTTTTTTTTTTTAAACCTGAAGGAAGTCCAGAGTATGTCAAAAGCCAAGCAAATTAGATAGACTCTTTGTAGCTGCACATCCGTAAATAAGTTCAAGGGGGGAAACTTCCGCACTGACAGAAGGAGGTTAGCATTTTCCACCTTTCATGTGCTTTGAAGCTGGGCAGATTAGTAACAGAGCACTGGTTAGCAGTCTACCATAAAATCCTCACTTTCTAAGGGCAAGTCCTGTTCCATCTATTAATATGTGAAACAGAATGAAAACACTTAAAGGTAAAGGACAACAGGAAAATACATTTAAAATATCCCAAACTTTAACAAATACAAACCAAAACAACCCTCCTTCCCACTCCCTAAAACCCCATTCAAATAAGGACACTTACACATCACTTTGATGTGTGTAAACTCTGTCAAACAGAGCTTCTGGAGCCATCCATTTTACTGGAAGCCGTCCCTATAAGTTTGGAAGGGAAGGGAAGAAAAATTAAAATGGTAGCAATTGACAGGATGATTTCAACATCAATTTTTTAAAAATATTAATTAATTCTCAGAGAATAGCCTGCTAATGCAAACTAGCACATAATTTATCTTTAAAATTTTCACGGAAAAAAAATAGTAAAATGGGCTAAAGTAGGGAGATCATTAAGAAAAATGGATATAAACATTGAAGATAAAATGAAAAGCACTGAGGGCTCCCCAAAAGTTCCCAGACTGCTTGCTAGGAGAACAATAGGATAAGCAGATCAAAATTAAAAAGATCATTCCACTATGGCTCTTTAAAGACAAAAATCCAATCAATCATCCTCTGAAAAATAGGCCTGCTTGCAAAAATAAGTTGATCGCTAAACCCAAGAATTTTGTTTTCCTTCTCCACCTTTTGCAGTGACCCAAAGCTCACAGTCGCAACTGCCTGTTGCTTTGCACACAAAGTCTGCTCTCCTCAGAGCCCAGGAATCGCACTAAATTTGATATGAAGAAGGTTCAATTCCCTCCAGTACGGACGTACCCGTACCTCGTTGCTCTGTCTTTTGGAAGTAGGCAGATATTACCATTAAAATGCCATTAATCACTTAGTGCTTTATTTTCATAGGTAAGCCACTTAACATGATTGTTAATAATAATTAATATTTATACAAAATATTAAAGTCTGTAGAACTGAATGAGTTCTGCAAAGTTCCCGTCAAAACCCAAGTGTAGTTCGTCAGGATCTTAAGAGATCCCCCGAGAAGGAGGTATAAGCTGTTCAAACTAGGCATCAATAACTACCATCTGAAATGTTTTATCTTCTTGATTTGGTACAGGTTAAACAGCAAAACAGTGACAGAGTGGGGAGTAAAAAACCAATTTTCTCAACCTCTAGCCCCACTTGGATACTACTGCCATAACTTGTACATAACAAGCTAAGTACAGGCAAAAAGGCATAAAGCTGTATGTGGCATTACCACACATAAACAGGATTTTTATTATGTTTATTGTTAGCACTGTTCATACAGTGTTTTACAAGATCCTAGGCTTGGTACAAAATGAGCTGGAATCAACAGGAATATTTCCACTTATTTCAAATGACTGAAGTCAGGGACACACAAAAAACAATTCTTGTATTTTAGCATTTCTAATAAGTCACACAATATACAGCCTCTTTGGTTATCTTTTTAACTGACTGTCACTGTAAGAGGGGACAGAAATGCTTATGTCCTTGATCCCTGTTTTCTGCCTGTGATGAGAAGTGAGGCTGCTGTACAAGAAGCCCATTAAGTTTATAACCATAGTTTTAAAGTGAACCATCGAAAGAAACACTTGTTTCCAGAGATAAGAAAACCATCCACTTACATTAGTAGTCTTTTTATAATAATCTATATTGTTGATGTCTCTGGCTAAACCAAAGTCTGCTATTTTCATGACATTATTTTCAGTTACCAAAACATTTCTTGCAGCCAAGTCCCGATGGATACACTGGAAAGAAAAGAGAGAGAAAAAAAAAAAAGGCCCACTGAAATAAACTGCTGTAAAAGTGAAATTACTTCTACACCATAACTAAGTCTCCTTTACAGATTTTAACCTAAATCACAAGGTGGGAAAGCCACACATTTCCTACAAGCCTGTGAAATAGGATTGTCTTAATCATTGCAATCCATCCCCTCAGCTCGTTTTCCCAAGTTGAACAACGGCCCTAAGAAGCCTCTTAGAAAAGCCTGGTTTATTTAAGATTTATATTTTGCTGAGGCTGAAAGCTTGGGTGGTGACCCAAACTGTGCCACGCTGTTTGTGATTCACTCTCCATTACAGGTGCCCAGGTACAGGTATTGCAGCACTTTCGTTACAAATACTGTTAATGAGCATTTTGTTAAGTAGCTTCTCTTAAATTCTATCATCTCACCAGAGCTAAAACCTGACAGTCTGGATCAGTGCAACCATTTTTTATATAAAAGATCTTAATATGAGTTATATCCACAGCATATAATTTTAAACTAGATGTCTAGGGTGTGTGTATTTACTTCAACCATGAGACTATAACAACTTAATTTAAAAAAAAAAAAACAACACAAACAAAAAAACCAAACCAAAACAACACAATCTGGGCTGGGCTGTTTGCTTTTTAAACAGCTTTGATACCGAAACTAAAAATGTTATCTCCTCAGAGATTTTTCCTTCGTGTCAGCATTATCCTGAAAACTTGCACCTGATTCTTGACACTGAAAGGACATTTGTGACTGCTCTGGATATTATTCCTGTGTTTAACCAGCCTTATTTGGGTTGATGGCAGCAGGAGCATGGTAAGAAACATCGCATTTGGAATCCCCCCGGGATATTCTACTACTTTTCAAGTTAAATATCCTTGGGTTTTTTTCCCCCCTCCTCAATTTTGAATTACTTTTTATGTTGTCCTCTTTATTTCAGCATGTGCACAGACATGCTGGACTGAACCACTACAAAAAACTGTACAACAGCCAATTTATTTCTTGCATTATAACTTGCCCCTGCAATTTTCTGAGATCTCTTATCCTGCACAGGTAAAATGAGCCTACAAAGCTTCTGCTCCTCACTGGGTTAGTCATGGGGAACTGCCAGGAAAAACCTGCTCCAGCAATGCCTTCATGTGCGCAGGACCAGACAACAGTACATGCCTTCAGCATCAAATCAGTCTTTTAATTCAGCATCAGCAATGCTACGGTAGCAGAAACAACATAGGCCAGCCTTCCTACTTCCCTATCCCTGTTCTCAAACCTTACAAGAACATCCTCTGAGACACTAGAAACTCAATTCAGTTGCCCAAATAGAAGTACACATTGTCATCTGAGATGCCCTGTGATATCCAAAGTATCTTGATGAGACTACCAGGGATGACACAGGATTGACAGCAGACCTGGGCCTTTCCAGAGTGGCAGCCTGGGGGTACCATAGAGCATCTCAAATGGCATGTAACACCTCTGAGTGAATACATCAAATTATTCAAACCCCGTTATCTTCTGTCAATACATTTCTGCTTTCTCATACCCTACAGTTTTACAACTGAGACTTTTCCTATCTTCAGAATGGTGCCATTATTGATTTCCATATCTGACAGCTTTCATAGCCGACCCTCTGGCCCTAATGATTTGCTGTCTCTTTGCAATGATCTGGGCCAGTCCCTGTATCTGGAGCTCCCCTGTTGCTCTTGCGCAGTACTGGAATGATGGAGAGGACACATCAACAGAATTTTAAAAAGCATCCATCCAACCTAGGAACAACATCCCATTTCCAAGGTACAATTGCTTGTAAGGCAAAAACTTTTTGTAAGGCAAAAAGTAGGTGCCCAAAAATATTCTTTATATACTTCCTCCCCCCCTCCTTTTTTGGTCTCAGTGAGCCATTGATTGGATTGAAATTACAAAAACACTGGCCTTCTCACAGTTCCTGCATGATGGAAATACTGTGAGAAGACCAGCTCTCTTATTATTCCAGCTCAGTAAATGGATCCCTAAGGGGAAAAGAACTAATGAAATACAAACAGAAATGGTAGGATATCTGAAGAACCTGAATGCGCAGTTTTACTATATGCTGCCTTTGTTTTCCTTCTGCCCTCTGCCTTGTGCAATGCCTCACGTTCTGTCACGTTCAGTGCAGCACTGATTAAGTGTTTTTGCAAAGTGCACCAAGGATGAAATGGTTCCGCCGTGTGCATCTGTACAAGCGCACACCTTCTTGGCAGTGTCCTACAACAGCAGTTGAGCTTCTCAGGTGGATGCTTGTTCTTAAATCTTTTGATTGGCAAATCTTATTTTTTCCTTTCACAACAGTTCTATTTTCTTGGGACATGGCTCATTGCCAGGCAAACGTTTCATTAATCTTAGAAAGAGATATCCTAAGGTGCTTTACCTAATACAATACTCATGCTTACTTCTACATTAGAAGATTTTGTCTTTGGTGTCGTGCATGTCTCCCTGTTTACCCTACAGCACGGAGAATTACTATTTCAAAATGAAAGAATAAAAGCAAAATTAGACCCTGATTCCCCTCCCCCTAACCTCTACCAGTGCAGAAAAGCAATAAAAACATCATGACTCTACACAACAGGAATGGAGGTTTACACTCAGCTCTGGTCTTTGGTTAAAAACAGCTCCATACTTGGGAGTGGGCACAACTGGAAGTCGATACAAATCCCAGTAACCACTCCACACCTTGCAGGAAGTGCTTATCATCAATATCTGGTGCTCTGGTTTAGCCATTGCGTCCAAACACCACCCAGAGTATTCACGATTGCTTGTCCACAAAGCCACAAAATGTTTACAGAGTTAGTTATACAGGGCTATTTAAAGTTTCATAACTATAATTTAAGCAAATTACTGGTTAAAAAAAAACATTTGAAGAAAAGTTGAAGAAATAAGTGTCTAGGGACATGACAGGATGAATAAATTCTTTCAACAAGCTTGCTCTCCTGACAAACACCAGTTTGAAGTAAAGCGCCTAATTTAAGTGGCTAATTCACTCCATTTATTTTTGCCTATTCTGTTCACTATTTTTGCCCTGGTATCTTGTGGTCTTCTCAACTCTGCCTGTTATCATTCTGTAAATCCTTTCACTAACTGAATTAATTTATTTTACATCACTACATGAGCTGATTCGGTCGATTTGACTGGAAACAGAAGGCAAATGGTGCCTGCAGTCTCATGGGAAATGGTGCCTGCAGTCTCATGGGTGGAGTAATGTCGCTTGTGTAATCAAGTGACCACCTGTGCTTACAAATTCAAAGTGCAGATATGTACGCAGTATTTACTTTAAATGATCCTTTCTGGGCCACATTTTAGTGATGTCACTAAACAGAGATTAAAAACTTTAGTGTATGAATTTTCCCACTGATTTTTGAGAGTATGGATTATGCAACTTGTTTGAGAAAGGTCCTTCTCCCAGCAAATTCTTGAACACAAATGAGATGAGAACAAACCTAAACTAAGAAAAGTGCCAAACAAATATGCACCATGCGCTTTGTGCAGTATTTGCTGAGTTCTACCTACTTTTTGTGAAGCCAGGTACTCCATGCCTCTTGCCAGCTGGTATGTGCATGACACTAAGTCCTTGAATGTCATCTGCTCTTCTGGTACCCTGTTAATATCAAACGAATACTCCATCCCCGGGGGGCGGCGTGCTCGCAGGTACTCACGCAGGTTTCCTTTGGAAGCATATTCTACTATCACATACAATGGACCTTTGGATAAATAGAACTGTGTGAAAACTGGAGTAAGGTCAAAGGGTAAAATGTTTTTATGTAAAGAAGCTTTTAGCGTCCTATAACAAACGAACTAAATTAATAAATGTTTAACTGTGAAATCAGTAAGCACAACTTGAAAGAAAAGGAAGTCCAGACCTGGCAAAGTGACTGGCCCAAAGCTCCATAGCAGGATAGTGGCAGAGCTACAATTAGTGGCTGAAAGTACCTAAACCCTGACCCAGTGCTTATTCCTTCCAGACCATGCCATGCACTGAAAAGCAAGTATTTTCAATCAAAGAATGCCATGAGATCTCAAACAAGGGGAAAGTGCTTCTTAAGATTTTTTAATTTCCAGAGTTTTATGCCATTCTGCATCACTTTACATGACATAATTAGCTTTTAATAAAAACACCGTGGTCTTTAGAGAGTAAAAGTGCTCATTTCAAATTCATGGGATACAAGTTCCACTAAAGCAGGACTGACAATTCAGAACAACAGGCGTGGGTAAAGCCCCTGTAAAATGTCTTTTTTTTTTTCCCCCTACAGCAAGGGATTAGAGAGTTTTCATATGATATAGTACCCTTTCTCATATTAAAGCTGCAAGTATAATGAGACACAGAAGTTAAAATATTGCTGCTAAGCTAGGGAAATATCTAAAAATCCCATCACGGCATGACTGCTTCCTTAAAAACTCTTGAAAAATTATGATTAATGAGACTTTCGCAGACCTGTTGGAAAGTCCTGGTTTACTTTCTTTTCTCTACTCACCATCCTGGGTACAGGCTCCAAGGAGATTGATGATATTTTTATGCTTCCCAATCATCTTCATCATCTCCATCTCTGACACCAGGTCAGACAGATCTTTTTCTGTAGCATCATCTGTACAAGACACAGGTTCAGTTTATATTTTCTAGCGTGCCAGCCTGAACTTCACTAAGGCTCACCAGTTGGTGTAAAACATGTGTGCTTCAAAATGCAGAATATGGGATTTGTTTTCCAGTATACACTGTACGTTATACAAAGTCATACGTTATGTCCTAACAAAAAATAGTCTCAACCTCTTTGATGGACTGACCATCTCTTCATTGTTACATGTTAAGAGGCAACACAGTAATATCAGACATAAGAATGCTGTCCTTAGCTATCAAACCTCCAATAACTATGCTTTTCCTGCAAACTAATCTTACAATTAAATTCAAAATAAATAGGCACCAACCACCTGGACTGAATGGGCTAGGACCTACACACGGACAGCCTCTGACATGAACTGAACTAAAAGCAGAGAGACCCACACGATGCTAATGCATCTCCTGGCTCCTAAATACTCACTGCTCAAGATAAACAGGCTGTCAAGGGCACAGATTTACACCCCAAACTGCTGAAGGCTGAGGTCAACTATGTGCTCTTTGACCCCCCCACGATGACAGAGTTCAGATGCCACAAAAGAAACTTTTTGTGGATGAGAACTGCCATCTCACCCATTCTGATCCCTAATCACCCAATTTTCTTACCTTTCAACATCTTCACTGCCACCGTCACCGCTTCTTTTGGCCTGTCTTTGTCAATCCCCCCCGCTTCAGCCATGACAACTTGCCCAAAGCAACCTTCTCCCAGGGGTTTACCCAGCGTCAGCCTAGAGGTGTAAACAGGAGATTAACACACAGCATCTGCTGAAGGGATGCAGCCAGTGAAATTCCGGGGCTAAATATAAAAAGCTTTCAACAACTTGCTGTAGCATGAAGCATTTATCACATGGAACTAATGAGACTCTGGGTGCGCATCGGTTTTCATGCGCGCTGCAGTATGTTTTCTTAGGGACGATATAGTGAGCATCTCATATGGGCAGACCAGTTGCTAAACCCAGCTTTTAAGCTCTCCCTCTCCTTGTTATAAGAGGCTGTACTCGACGGCTGGCAGCAAGACACAGCATGGAGGGGCAGAGCTTTCAAAAAGCATCAGACCGCGGCTGAAATTCAGGAGCAGCCAGCAACATGCAAGCTTTTCCTGTCATTGTAACACGGCCGGTCGTCGTCTTTTTCACATTGACTGCAAGGAGATGAAAGAAAATTTTCTTTGTGTGTGTTGCCAACGTGGTCACTTTCAGGCAGCTGATGACTCCTGTGGTAAAGGGTGGTATTAAAAGCAGGGGGGTGTTTTAAATATTATTAACTCCTGTGATATAACAGCACAGTGCAAATGGAAAGAAAAATAAAACATGCTCTCAGGCAGCTTGATTTTAGCTCAAAGTTCATATTCTTGCTTTCTGTTTGGGGATGCAGGCCATGAACATTTGCCTAATGATCTCTTGTGCCAAAGGGATTAGACAGGACAGAGAGAGCAAGTCAGTAGACACCATTTTTGGGCGCAGCTGCGGGTAATTATCACACCCATTTCTCTTTCTTGTGGCTGATGAGGTGGCCAGACAGCAGCCTTCTTGTGGGAGAGGAGGGAGGATGAAGGTGAGAGAAGGGGAAGGGAAAAGAGGCCGGTGACAAGCGCGTGGTGAAGGCTCGGGAGGAGTTACTGCTGCGAGAGCCTGGGTAAAGGCGCCCGCGATGCTCCCACGCCTTGAATGGCTGCCAGGAGCTGCCTCGGCTGCCGCTGCCTCCGGCTCCGCTCTTCTGCTGCAAGTCCCGGTGTGGCTCACGCAGAGGCGACGCTCTCCCTGCCTGGCGGCACGAGCGGCGGCACAAAGGCAGCACCTCCACGGGACAAAGCACTTGGCAGATCTGAGCATCCCCTACAAGCCGTCTTCTCCACAGCCTCCCCACTCACAGCAAGATCGCTCTTCTGACATCCTCGCACGTTTCCCCAGCGCTTTGATCCTTTAAGGGGTGAGACAGGATGCTTTATTTACCCACAGCTGGGTCTAGCACAGAGGCTGTTTCTTGGCTGCGGGCTCTTTGCTGCCACAAATGTCATGTATGAGGGTAACAGAAGATGCCTCCTGTCTTCAGCACCCGGGCTCTGCTCAGAGAGAGGGAAGCAAAGACTGGGGGAAACTGAAACCCAATTATAATCGCAGTATCAACTTAAGAAACCTTTTAAAAAGAGCAGTCGTTAACTGGGCTATGCAAAATGCATTTTGTGGCGCATACACCTGGTTGCAAAACCTGGTCGCAAAACCTGGTCAGCTGTAACATACAGACACAGAGATGTCGATCTCAACTTCAGGAGGATAAAGAGATAAAATAAAAAAGAAACTTCAAAGCCTCTGGGCAAAATCTTATTGGTTCCAGTGTAAGTGCTTGAGGGCCATATTCAGGCTCTGTAAATTGCAGAAATTTATCATCTAACTCCAGAAGCAGTGCCGCTGCAGAAATCAGGGAGGGTGCTCGGCAGGTTTGATGCTGCTAACGTTATCCAGTGTAGAGGCCGGATTCACATAAGCATTTTCATAACTGAGTTCTTAAGGTCTTGGCTTTCCACGGTCAAAAACAGGATTCACAGATATGATATACATAGGGACTCGTTCTTAAAAGCATAGGCTTCTGTCTTCCCCAGTGAAATACAGGGAGAGGTTGTCATACCATCAACAGAAGAGTGTTAGACAGGGCTAAGTGGCTTGAAAACCCCGCTTATCTGCTCAGGCAACAAGACAGAAGTGGGAGGTGGTTCCTCCCAAGGGCAGCCCGCAGACTCCTTGTCAAATGCAGTCTTTGCCTTGGTAAGAATTCCTCAAGCTGTTTTGGATTGGTTTCTAAAGCAAACGCAAGTTTAAAAAGGTGCAAAGACTGAAGGGCAGCGTATGCTATGCTGAGGTCATCCTGCATTTTCTCCAGAACTAAAATTGAATTTAGGATCTTGGCAGAGAACAAACATTTGCATTGGAAACTGGTTAATTTATGTGCTATTGCCCTGCTAGGACTAAAGTAACAAACCCCTCATTGTGTGCCTCCTGCCCCCCAACCTAATAAACTGCCTCTAAATAGCCTCCTTTCATTGCAAATCTGCTCCACCTACATTTGTGCTGAATGCTGGTTTTAAATGTTTAGCGCACTAAAATTTTCCGCATTTAGTGTATCCCCCCAGGGTATGGGCTGACAGAAGTATATATACAGGCCCTCACTGTTGACTAGAATACTGCAGGTGGCAATTACAGCATTTTGTACTAGTTTTCAGCTACATCATTAAAATAATTTCCAGAACAGTTGTCAGAAGGTTCAAAATTACAGCTCTTCTATCAAAAGTTACAACGCTGAACTTCAAAAGAGAACTGTTCGTAATAAAAGGTGTTATTTTCTCAAAGCCACCTAAAGACTTAAAGTTAGTACTAGTTTTAATATATAATCACGGTTCTACCTGTGTTAATATTATCTTTCTTTCACACGTCTTTTTTATATTAAGAAATATGGTTACAGCTTTAATTAGATTATTCAGCAGCTCATTTTGCATGTTATTCAACAGACTTTGAAGAAAATATTATGTAACCATATTAATTTACATATATCAAGATTCAGTATGCTCTGCTTGAAACCTAATACTTTTAAGCCACAGAAGTTGTATATATATGTACACAATATGCAAAATGCCCCACTAAATCGAAAACCATCATCTCCATCAATACAGGCTACTACAAAATCAACACAAAATCCTACCCAGAAGGTCCCAACAGGAAGAAGGGATTCTCTAATACCATATTCTAGACTTTATCTTCTACGTGATATTTTGTTATCTATATTAAACAATTAAGTTTAATATTTCCGCTAAGAAACATGGTTTCATATACAGAGGTATTGCTTGGGGAAATCTCAACTGCCCTTCAACAATGCTTGTATGTGGTCACCTTTCCCAGTCTAAATCATATGTATTTTGAAATAACATTTCAGATTCACTCCTTTCGTAACAGAGGAGTTACATTTCAGCAGGGTACCTGAAAACCTACCAGTAATCTGAAAATAAAATCAGAATGACAGGCAGAGAAAATTCAGCTTCTATTTGAAAAAAGACTGATTTCAGACAATTGAATTGGATCTTGACCTTCAGAGGAGGTAACTGAGATTTTCTTTTAACTAAAGAAACCCTGGGAAATACTGGGAAAGATGTTTCCTCTCATACTGTGTCATGTTTTTCAGACATGTGTAGCTAGTGTTAAGAGAAACAGGCTACATACTTATCTCTTGGAAACTCCCATTTTGGGTCTTCCGGCAATTCATATTCCGAGACTCCTGCCAGCATGGGAGCATCGGCAGTAGAGGAGAGGCGAGTAGTTATCCTCACCAGAGGTGTGTTGGAATTCATGGAGGAGCTTGAGTCGGCTGACACCTGTGAAAATACAAGATGAAAAAAAGGGGGGGGGGGGGGGGGGAAAGCAGAGATGTAATCTTGACCCAATATCTGAAAAACAGCAGTACTTGATAACCAAGCCAGCTCAGAACAGTGGTATTAGGAAAAAGCGGTGGAACCTACAGTCTTGTTTCTAATGCACTATTCTCACAGATTTACCCTCCCCTTGTAAGCACAATAATGACTCTAATTGCTGCCAAGGCTGTAAGTCTGTCCCATAGGTTGAAAACCCTGTAAGTTTTAAATACATTCACTCAGAAGATAAATTAAATTAACTTTTCTCTCTTTTTGTTTATCAGAGTAATACTTTTTTAATCAACTGAGAGTATTTACATCGCCACCCTCAGATACCCAAGTGGGCAGCTTATACTGTGAGCAGAGGTTACCAATAAGCTCTCTTCCTCCACTCACTTCTCGTTGTCTGTGTCACCACTTCTTTTCCCAAATCAGCACACAATTTACTATTTTTGGTGTTACTATTAAATTGAAATTTTGAATTTTTAATTGAAAATTGTATTTTTGCAAAGGGTCCCGTATATTTCATCACATCAAGGTTACATGCATGTTCCTGTGTAGGAAATGTTGGACTCTCTCACGCCGGGTCCTGCACTTGGGTCACAACAACCCCATGCAGCGCTACAGGCTTGGGGAAGAGTGGCTGGAAAGCTGCCTGGCGGAAAAGGACCTGGGGGTGCTGGTCGACAGCCGGCTGAACATGAGCCGGCAGTGTGCCCAGGCGGCCAAGAAGGCCAGTGGCATCCTGGCCTGTATCAGAAATAGTGTGGCCAGCAGGAGCAGGGAAGTGATCGTGCCCCTGTACTCGGCCCTGGTGAGGCTGCACCTCGAATACTGTGTTCAGTTTTGGGCCCCTCACTACAGGAAAGACACTGAGGGGCTGGAGCATGTCCAGAGAAGGGCAACGAGGCTGGTGAGGGGTCTGGAGAACAAGTCTTATGAGGAGCGGCTGGGGGAACTGGGGTTGTTTAGCCTGGAGAAAAGGAGGCTGAGGGGAGACCTCATTGAACATTGGAACAGGCTGCCCAGGGAAGTGGTTGAGTCACCATCCCTGGAAGTATTTAAAAGACGGGTAGATGAGGCGCTTAGGGAACATGGTTTAGTGGGCATGTTGGTGTTGGGTTGACGGTTGGACTCGATGATCTTAGAGGTCTCTTCCAACCTTAATGATTCTATGATTCTATGGTTTAGTGGTGGACTTGGCAGTGCTAGGTTAACGGCTTGACTCCATGATCTTTAAGGTCTTTTCCAACCTAAACAATTCTATGATTCTATATTTTCTAAGCATTCATTATTGGAAACATCAAAAGCTATCAGAATAATTGGGGAATACTTAAGTTTTCAGCTCACTACATTCCCAATTAAAGATTCTGCAGGCAACGTGGAGAAAAGCTCCTAAAAATAATTTAATGTTGTGCTGGTTTTGGCTGGGATAGAGTTAATTTTCTTCATAGAAGAAAACCCGGCTGGGGTTAAACCATGACAAATGTCTAATGCTTTGAAATGTAATTCACTTTGGAGTATGATTTCTCATCGGCCTCAACAACATTTTCCTTAGAGCATCAAAGGTACTTAATGATAACTGCTTTGAAAAAGGAGGCAGCTATTCCATCCATGTAACAAAACTTGTTTTGGTGTGAATGGTGTATCTTCTATAAGGCTCCTTCCTTAAACCTGCAAGCAGCAGCCTGCCGTCTGCTGATGTCAGAGTTTCAAGTGAATATGAACACAAAACAAAAATGCTTGTATTGCCAGTCTTCCCCTCCTTTAAGTGTGAATCCTCCTTCTCTCTTCAGGCCATGACAGTCTTGGTCAAGCCCAAATTTGGTGGCCAAGGCGGGATGAAGGTTGTTTCACAATGCCATCACTGGTACCCGTCCTCACATCAGGCAACAGGAGGTGCTTCTCAGCGGGCATTGTTGGGACCCTGCCCAAGCTGGAAGCCTAGAGCATCAGAATAACTACCACTCTCGACCTTTGTCCTCATCACCTGGAGTCAACTTTGATACCAGTTTTGCTTATGTAAAATGTCACCAGGCTACAATTTTGTTCCACAGGTCTTATAACTAGATTAAAAAAGCAATTATAAGCAAATAGATCCCAATAGCATTAAAGTACAGATCAGTGACACGCAGTGATATGAACACCAAATCCTCTTGTCTCTATGACACCTGATAAGTGCAACGTAGTGCTCCCTTATATTAAGTCCAATTAACAATTACAGTGTCTCAGCCCACGGAATTATTTGAGCTCCTCAGAATGGGGCTGAAAGGCTTTTGCAAGTCATGCTCTTACACAATGCACTTTGACAAGACAAGGCTAAGGCGCTCAAACAAATTTCTCATCATGATTCTGACCATCTGTTTTGTTTGAGAGGTCTCTTTGCAGGTAGACATCCTCAAATCCATCTCATCAAATGGGTTTGGCTTCTTGACACATTTTTCTAAGACCACAGATTAAGACTGGAAAGAGGTTTCATAAGGAAGAAAGTGTTAAGGATTGCTATCAGAAAATTAACCTGGTTTTAAAAATTAACCAGTTTTGCAGCTGACAGACCTTTCTTGGTATCAGAAGCTCCAGCTTCTGCATGTGGTGTCTATGGAACAAGAGAGTATAACTGCACAAATAAGGCTACCATTCAAAAAACAAAGGTGGACCGCTTTCCTCCTCATTCATCCCACCATCATTAATGTTAATATTTACTTTCAGCAAATATAAGTACCTGACACATTCCTCTAGGATAATAAATATGGTGACCACTTGGGATACAAACAGAAAACTACTATTAAGGCAGACTATGTAGCTCTAAATAAATCAGTAAGTGAATACTGAACAGAGTCCTTAGAGAGATGCTGCCATGCCCAGTCTACAGAGGGGAACACACCTGCTGGAGCTGCGTGGCAAGCCAGCATGAGAACCAGGGCTGGAATTAGACTTTTGCTTATTTTTTGCTCATTTTCATTATTTCATTATGGTTTTAAAATGATGCTTCATTAAATGAACCAGTTCAATACTAAGAAATGTGCAAATCTCCGCGAACAATGTGACAACTCCTCTGTCCCCCACGACTTCCCCTGAATTTCATTTTTCTGTTATTTCTAAGTTTCCATTTTTTCATCTCTCACCACAAACTTACTAATACTCTATGACAACTTCCTCCATATTTCCAAGATCCACCCACTATTCTCCAGCCATTCTACCAAGATCTTTATTCAAGTCTTGATTCCTTTTTATTTATTAACATTGCCTTTACTTTCTTGCCTTTCTTTGTCATTATAGTCATTGTTTTCATGGGACATCAGGAAGGCATGGAAGTGAAGCTGCAAAATTTAGATGATATCCCTTACGTATCAGAAATGGCCCAAAATGGTCTGGGGTCTTTTTTTTCCATGAATACAATATTTGTATTAGACACTGTTCAGATCTCTGCCATAGTTTCATCTTTTCACTAGCTCTTATACTCACAATTCAACAGTCTTAGCATGGTTAAAACCTACAAAAGTAAACCTGCAATAAACTGAAATAGACCAGTGATGCATTTCAAACACAGAAGTTAAATAGTAATAATGTATTAAAAAAAAACAGATGAAAAACTCTGCCAATTTCCCTTTTAACACAATTGCACGTTTACTTCACACAATAACTGGATGATTGGCCAGAGATGCTGTAGGTAACCAAAGCGCATTAGTGTGGATAGGAATGATGAAAAATCCAGAGGAACTACTCAGTGCCTGGAAGAAGAAAAATGGACTGCAATCCCAGGGAATATTCTTCTGATTGATTAACTGGAGCAGTACAGTTACAGGAGCTCAAGGACTATAAAAATCTGCTCCAGAAAAGACGAAGCCAACCCAGGCTGGCTTATGGTTGGAGGAGATTTTCTGTTTCAAAATGGCCTTTCACCTTTACTGCAATAGTAAAGAATTAACCTTTGAACTCATCCTTAAGCATCTTTTTTCATTGCCTTAGAGTGCACTATAAAAGAATGAGGAAAACCCTACCTACTCCAAGGTCAGTAGACATGGTCAACTTTAATCTACATGTATACATTTAAGTAACAGCATATAGAAAGCCTTTTTCCAGCTTGCTACTTTCCCCTTTTCACCTGCAGCACTGCCCTCCAACCCCTTATCATGCAGGTTCAAGAACCAGTGACACTCCTGCCACGAACCCCACATTTCAGCGTGTGGAGTTGCTTTCAAGTACGTGGATGCTCTTTTTGCTTTCAGTTATGCAAAGATTCAAGGTACGTGGGACACAGGCATAATAGAGGCCATACTGAGTTTTTGAAGCAAGCTTGTAATTGTACATGGCCAATATACAGACTCCAGGGCCACTTTGGGTCTAGCAGGTGCCAAGAAGCAGCAGCTGGACATCTAAGTCAAAACGCATTAACTTCTTGGGCAATCACCCAGCTCACCAACATGGGCTTCTTGGAGATAAAGGAACAAAGCAGAGCCAGGACAGAGAAGCAAGGAAGGGCATCTAATGTAGGTGAATTAGACATCTTCAAGGTCTACTCGCTGTGTTGGTGTCACCTATTTTCAGTGATGACGCTACACTAAAGAGGTATTTTGAGTGCTTAATTAAAGCAAGGAAGGCAGAAGTCAGCTTGACTTGAGCAGAACACTGAAAGGACTATTGTGGTATACGTTAACCTCGACAGGAAGGTAGACCTCCACCATAAAATATTCTTTGTGTGCTTCCTTTCTGCTTTTAGGAGGCCAGAACCAAAAGAAGTACTAGCCTCAGACAGATCTTTAGCTCCATATCTGCACTTCAGAAGGAGAAAAACCCACTGTGTCCAAACCTCACGCACCAATGCATTATTATATCCCCATTTTAACAACATATTTGTCCTTCGGCCAACACGCTGTATTTAATCAGCTCTCAGATAATGCTTTACAAGCATTTCTAAGCAGCAGAGCATTTAAAACAAACGAATCTTTGCTGGAATCTTTTAATGCCATGTGGCAAAATCAGACGCAGAGCAGTGTGTAATTGTCTGTAATTGATTATGAAGGGTGTTTTCCTCCACTGATGATTTATACCATATCCCGAAGCCTACATCTGTCAGTTCTGGCACTCATGCTGTGAGATTTTAGCAGCCATGCAGTGATTTCCTATAATTGTCAGTCTTTTTGAAGGTTCTGCTATAAAGTTAATTTGAAGTCATACGCATATATGTATATAAATGTAACTAGTAAGTAATGCTATTAGCTGTTGATAGAAACAGTCCGAGTGACTGGATCTAGGAAAATACAAGGTTAAATGCACTACATGAAACTGAGGATTCCTAATGTTAAGTACTGACATTTAAAACACATGCATCATCCCTTCATGAAAAGCGCTCCTTTTGAAACACTTACACAACAACAAAATAACAAACGAGTACTACTAGGCAAGTCAATGGTTTCCATATAGAGGAATCCAAGGATAAAGCAAGAAACTAAAATAGGTATTAAGGTAAATTCCTTGCAACATATCCTACTGACAGTTGTATATTAATCTTTGTATTACAGGGTCTATTCCTTAAAATGAATGATATTTTTTTACAGCTCAATACTATGTGAAATACTATGTTACTTTACTTGTTCCAGATTATTTCCTTTTTCTCATGTTCCAGCTGCCATCATCATTTTGAATTACCTATTTTGCTTGGTGAGCTTAAGTCTCACTTTAAACTGATCAGTCTTTGCTCATCACAAATATGCTCACTATATCTTTATGAAGGAATCAACAACGGCAGAAGATATAAATTAATGGGAATGTATTTAAAATACTAAGCGTAAGAAATCATTCCTATTTAAGGAGGAAGGACATATAGACATACATATATATACGTACACATATATACGCCCAAGTTGAGGGGGTTCAAATTTGACAGATTAACTGTGATAGCACTAATGGCATGCTAATGATGACAGACACTTGTACTTTACTTTGACTGGGTAAGTCACAAGAGATGGGACCTTCTATAACCATTAGAGCAGCACTGTCTTTTTGTCTGTTTTAATTATAATTTATTGGGGGGGGGGGGGGGGTTAGTTTTTTGTTTTTTTTTTTTTTAGTTGGGGGGGGGGGGGGGAGGTGTATATCCTATTGAAGGCTACTCTTTACCTTTTGGTTCAGTGAACCTGTCACCTAAAGCCTATACTGTAAATTGGCTTCTGATGTTCAATCCTACAAATACTTCTTTCCATGCCCTTGCAAGCTGGTACTTCTATGCAGAACATGGCTATTACCAACAGAGCATTGCAGCTCTCTGCTTTTGTATAAAGAAGAGGAATTGCTTACCGATTTCCCTGCAAGAAGTTTCTATTTCAAAAACCAAGTACCAGATCCTAGTGAGGCTGAGGACTGTCGGGGGAGGGAACTGATAATTCCTGACTTCATCATGACCCTTCCGATGAATGCGAAAAGAACCGCATTTTGGCAGGAAAAAAATGCCTGCATGTGGGGAATGATAAAATCCTGTAGTAGCTCAGACTAAATAGTGTACGAGAATCCAGGCCTGCAAACCAAACCATATGTTACTCAGCAAGACTCTTATCCCACTTAGACAAGATGGCATCACAGTCATGCAAATGCCTCTTCATGAACCAGGATTATTTTCATATCCAGATCCTTAGGGAGCTTGACCCAGCAGCAGAGAGCTTTGAAAACAATATCAAGAATTCCCCAATCTATGGCCTCATTTCTCTGGAATTCCAACAAATCCCATCACCCAGCCCCAGATCTCTGCCCAGCTCACACAGTTGCCCTGCCACGAGCATCTCCCCTGCTCACTCTCGCCCATCCTCTCAACAACTCGGCCACTTTCCCTATTCCTCCCACATACAGCATACACAAAGGCAAGGGAGAACCTTCTGTGATCAATGGATAAATAAAGGTTTAGTGACAAAACCCCACCAGGCTTTAAATACAATCCCCTGAAATGCAAATAAACTGAAACAAAAAAGTAAGCCTGGTGGTACAACAAACCAAATAGAGTTGAATAATCCAGAAACACATACCCATTAAATAAAACACCTCCTGGATTATTTTTTAATTCTTGATTTGTGACAACAATTCTGAAATCCAAAACCAGCTTTAAAAGATGCAGAAACTAAACAACTGCTGCAGCCTTAGAGACCAAGAAGATGCTAACTGAAAAATTAAGGAATCTTCACTGTTGATGAGCAAGTCTTCAGGGACTGTTCATCTCATCCTGCCTCTGCAAGCTAATACAAACAACTAGTGAAATGACCAGTGAAATCATCAAAACAGAAATACAGATTTCTTTTAATGCTTATAGTAGTTATATTTTCCTCTATGAAGATACGAAAGCAGAGACCCCTTCAATGAGAAACTCCTGTTAATAAAATGTACTCAGGAAAATTGAGAGTGGTGGAATTTTTGCTTAGGGGTTGAAATAAGATCCGTACTTTCAAACATATACTATTTTTCAAAAAATTAGTCCCACTTTTAAAAAGCAAAATGCTGGTTTTGCTAAGAAAATATAGAAAACCAAAATAAACCGATAAAACCCTATCTGACAAGCATGTTGTAAGACAGAGATTTTTTCTCTCTGTGAAAACAATAGCTTTGGAGAAGGTCCATATTGCATCATTTAATGATAAATAACTAAACTGAGGGCAGTGGTTGGCACTGCTGTCACACGCAATGAAATAACACTCTCCCCCTGAGGAACCATTTCCAACTGACACAACTGAGATCACACCAAACCCTAGGTAATTTTCATGCCATCAACTTATCTCTGAGTCATTATGATGCTTTTATATTCAGGCAGAAATCTAATAAATGTATTTTATCTAGGCAGCTGATATGTATCTCTCTCTGATTAAGTATACAACATTTGAAAAGCCTTCTTTGTCCAGAAAGCTACACAGATTTTTAGCCATAGAGATGTGTGAATTGAGCCGAGGGCTCCTCATCATTCTTTCTGATACACTCAGAGTCAAAAGTCCCTCTTCTTTCCAGTGATTTCCAAGCAAATGAGTAAAAACGTAAAATTAAAAAAAAAAACAAAAAGTGGCAAAGTCAGAAAAAATAAGAATTAACATTTTTGCTCATAAAACAAACCAAATATTTTTCAGATCAGACAAAGTTCATGTCCCCCACCTCAAGATTTTGTAAAATACTCCACTTTAGAGGAAGATGGCTAAAACATTACTATTCCGTAGTATTTTTAACTAAGGAGATTCAGAAACCGTGAAACAAGGGTTCAGAAAAAAAATAATACTATTCAAAATCCCAAGACCAAGCTCCACCCTAACTCTGTGTGATCGTGCTTCTAAATTTCAGACACTCACCCATACTGAAAAACTATTTTTAAGGTACATGTATTACTCTGACAGTGATAATATTCTGGACAGGCTGTAAAAACAATCTGCAGAAATTCTGCACAACCTATTCATGGTGCAGATGGACCCGAACTAAACCCTCAGATCCAAACCCCCTGACCAGAGCCTGGATCCAATTCCCGCAGATGGTCCCTATTTTGAATAAGGTGGTGAACCACAGCCTCAGATGCCAACACCCCTCCGCCTCTCAGGGCTGAAACCTGGGGGTGGATTTGGTGGGTTCAGAAGTCTATCCTGAAGGCCTACTGCAAGAAAATCAAAACATATTAAACTCCAGCTTCAAAAGAAACAAGTCTTTCAGGAGAGGATAGTATGCGGGAATGGAGGCTGTTTTGGCAAGTGATGGCCTGTGACAAAGCCAAAGTCCTGTTACTCGTTCAACTGGTTTGTTGCTCGGGGTATTGCCCTCTCCAGAAACACTCATTGCCAGCCACAAGCAATCATAAAATATTTCATGCAATGCTGTTGTATGCCTTTTAACTGACATTTGCTTTTATTCCTCACTCAAAAGCATCAGCATCTTAAGCAAACTATCTGAGATCTGATATAGTATCTCCCCTATTTTTACTTGATTACAGTCTTTTTTTCTATTTTGAAGTGGTTTCTGGATGCTTGGCTATGAAGTTCCCCCCCCATCATCAAAATTCTTGCTGAAAAATACCTCTCTGTATCTGGTACCTAGTTACTACAATAATAGTCACCTTAGAAACATTATAAATACACAATTAAATAGGATTCTGTTCCAAAGTCCATTAAGTCAGTAGAAGTTTTTCCATTGACTTCAATGAGCTGTGGGATCAGGCCCCAAAATACTTTAAATACATTTTTTCCATCTATAGACTGCTAATACAGAACATACTCCATTTTTTACATTTCTCCTCTAACATCCCTGCCCTGATTTCCTTGCCTTGAGACACACATTGCTGTGTTAAGATGCATTTTCTTCCCATGCGAGTATCCTAGGTGCCAGATTAAATCCCACCCCTACTGCAATTTGGTATAATGCTTATTTATTCCCCTTTCCAAAGCTTTCATCAGAAGGATGTGCTGGCTTGGTTGTTTGGTAAAATTTTTTTTAACTCTTTATCTACTTTCTGTTACCTGTCTGCGCAGAGGGATTCGCTTTGTCAGCTTATGGACAGCGGGTTGGCTGCTGAAATCGGGCTTCTTGGTGGTGTTTTTCATGCGACACAGGATGACTGTCAGCACCATGCAGGCAATTAAGAAGACCCCTATGCAGTAAATTGCTATTTCCAGGTAGTCTGGAGATGTCGGATATTCTTTTTCTTTTTCAGGAGCTGGATTGGAAGTTTTTAGGAGGGAACAATCATGCCACAGAGTTAGCACACAGTACAAGCATAGTTCGGTACAGCGCTTGGAACAACAGGAAATGGTAAAATATCAGCAATTCTCGCAGTGACTGTGTGACATACAAAATACTGTGAATGTTTAGGCCATCCTGTAATCTGAGAGTAATTCCTCTTTCCAGATCACTGCTTTGACTTCTCAGTTTGCCATTGAGTGTGAGCTTGTGCATGTATGCATACATATATAGACATATACATGTGTCTGCCTAGATAGGTAGATACATATACATTGAAATATTGGATAATCAAGCATAGTTTTAGGGGGGAAAAAAAAAAAACTGAAGTGTTCAAACTAGGCTCAGGTTCATTTTGTTGCTCAAGTCAAACTTCAAAAGCACTGTAATTCTTTTTAACCACATAAAGACACATCTAAAGATAAAATATTGAATTAGCTAGCCTAAAAGAAAAGTGTCTAAATTCACAAATAGACATTTGGGCTTGAGTCTGCATTGCCTGTTTATCCAAAATTTTCACTGGGGTCTCAAAATACAGAGGGAAGCCAGGATGAATCAGTGCCTCATCATGTTTCTAAATTCAAGTCCGGGATTTCAAGAGTGTTTCAAGGACCTGGCTGCCCAGCTGCTTAACTCGCTGCGGTTCATGCCGGGTGCCTAACTCCCCTGAGGTCCTTTGAAGAGCCCAGTGTCAGAATAAAAAGCATAAGGCAAGCGAAAGCTGAATTGCTAGCAATACGTTAATTAATGAGTCCTCTTTTGTGAGGACTGCATATTTCAAGTAACCTCATCAGTGGTTACCAGTCTATGAGATTAGATTTTAGTGGGAGTGGTTCTACATAGCTGTTACTCTGATTGAAACCATTTTGAAATTATCTTCAAGACAGTTATATGTGCAAACACTGTCCCTAATCCCTTATCTGGGATTCATCCCCCGGATAAACAGCATTCCACAGCAATCAGCGGTCACTCTGCAAGCAATGCACGTTCAAGCTGAAATTTTCTTGTGCCTCATTCTAGGCTTATACAAATATTTCATTCAAGAAAATTGGTTAAAAAAATGCTGTTCAAGCACTTGCAAAATGCAAACACTGCTAGCAGAAGCAAGCTCTACACAAGTACTGCTTTGCCTGCCTGGTGACAGACCACGCAGGCTCAGAGTTCACATAAGAGTGAGATGTAATAAAGTTGCCTTGTTCAATATATTTTAATAAAGGGTAAGAAATTATCTGCAGAAAGTGGGAACATTTCACTCCCATAATATGAACCTCAGCAATATGCACATGCAGGTTTTGTACCTTTTACTTAGGATTAACAATTAATAAATGGTAAGCACAAGATGACCCAGCAAACCTCAGGTGGTTCATGTTTTTTCAAAGGAACCCCCTAAGGCAGCTGCCAACAGTTATAAATGAGAAAATTTGAGTAGTGTCAAAACCAACTACAGTTACATCTTCTAACAGCTGATAACAATTTTCAGGCAATAAAGCACATTGATGTTTGTTTCTTTTAAAGATAGAAACATCATCAACCCCAGAACAGCAAGACATGCTTTGCAGTAAAAGCAAATGACTACTTGTTTTCTTAGAGCATGCAATGTTTAAAGATGCACGGAGCCGATTCCCAAGATATGGAAGGCACTGCTTCTGTACACAATCCATTAGTATTAAAATTAGAATTTCCATAAGATATTTGGATGATAGGTAAAAGTGAATTTAAGCACACTGAACAGCTCAGGTATTTTAATGAACTAGTACATTACTGTGGCCAAATTAGTCCCAAAGAACTTCATAAGAAACTTTGAATTTCCTCCTCTTGGAAAAGTTTACAATGATTAATGTGCTGATTTTCAGTTATCTCACTGAAGTGCTAAGGAAATGCAGTTCCTTAGCATTTCTGATGAACATTTAACAGATGTAAAAATATTTCAATTAAGTGCAATAGCCATTCCCCCCCCTTTTTTTTTGTTGTTGTTAGGTTTTTGGAGTTGCAAATATGTGACAAAACAATTCATTGGCTTGAGACAGCTGTGTTTAAAAAAAAAAAAATCATTGTAAAAGTCCTTTTCTGAGACAGAAGCCGTGCTAACTCTGCAGCAATCAACAAGGGGAAAAAAAAGAGGAAAAACCACGGAAAGAGAGCAGTGTATACCTGGCAGAACTGTCAACCATGCAGTGTGAAAGGATATCCCAATAGAATTACCCGCCAAGCATGTATACTCCCCAGCATCCTCAAAAGTTACATTCCGTATATAGAGAACCTCAATTTCTTTGTCCGTGGTGTTAACACCGGCAGCCTAAAAAAAAAACAAAAGAGGGAAGCAAGAGGAAAAGCTAGACATTGAGAGAATTCTTGTGGATAGGGAGATGGAGCCACAGGGCTTTGCACTTTGTAAAGGCAGAGGTGTAGAGATGCAAAGCTCCTTCCCCATCCACAATCCCTCATCCAAAAGGCGTTTACCAACAGGTCCCAGCTCACCTCAGAAAGTAATCAACACCCTTCACCAGACCTAAACTCACCACCTAAACATGCATGCAATCAAATGACATGGAAAAATTAACCCACAAAGCTTTTTTTTTTTTCCCTTCTTCTCTTTTAATAAATGAAAGTTGGAAGAAAAACAAAGATAAAACAAAGTAGGACAGAATGCGGGATCCTTCACATGTAGTTACCTGTTTCAGAGGAAAGAATTTACTATAAAAATATACTCTGAAAGGATAAAAAAAAAAAAAAGCGGGCAAATTCTGCTCCAAAAGACAAAACTTAGTAGCTGTCTTATGCAGTGTATGGACCTTGCATCATCCACTGCACTACACTTAAATATTGTGCATTGTGCAGTGTTGCCAAATCTCATTTTAATATGAAGTCTGGTAATATTTGGTGTTTTGCTTAGAAGCACAGTGGAAGGTATCTCAGCTCTTGTTCAAAAAAGATCAGTTGTGGCTCTCAGAGATGTGGAGAAAAGCTGGACCCCAAAGGTTCAAGAACCAGGAGATGGAAATAAAAGATATTTTTCTAAAGCTTAGAGACTGAAAAAAAATTCTGGAAGTTTTTCTTTTTTCTGGTCTCCTTCTAGATTTGCTAAATCTCTGGCTTGACAAGTCATTATGCACCAAACCAATCAGCGTATCAGTGATTATCCAAACTCATATAAATAGAGTAAATCTTAGACCTGGAACTTTCCAGCTGTCCCAAGATGGGCGTGCAAGCAGGGCATCAGTGTCAAGGTCTCTATGATGGAGATTTAGAGAAATTATTGTTTGCTGCTTTTTCTCTCTGTTCCATTCAAAAATGATACTTCGAAATACACAATGAGGGAATAAACACATTTTTACCAGACCATTTTAAAGTAAATTTAGTTGTGAGTTGTAGCCGCATTGTTGCCAGTCTTTATTGTTATTGAAGGGTTATTACCCAGTTAATAACAGGTGAATAACAACTGGAAAACCCTCCCACCCTGCACAGTCGTAGGTGACGTGGGAAGTTGTAAGTGACTAAACTGACCTGACTTACGCTTCAGTGGGTACTTATGTGAACGTTTCATATATATATATACACACACACGTGTATATATATATATTAAAAAATATATACCCTAATTAGGTCATAATTACATTACTCAACAAGTACCCTATATGTGAACTGCAAAGTATGCAGAATTAACAATAAAACTGGACACAAACACAAAGACACCAAACACAAGAGAGAATAAAGATCAGCATCGGAAACCAGAGCTTATGGCACACACAAAATATTGTGGGAATTTTTCCATGGCTGCTGGTGTAATACCAGTTGCATCACCGAAGGAGGATTACACATATACCACAAGGCCAAAGAGTTATCCTACAAGCTGCCTGCAGTCTCCCAAAGCACCATTTTTTCCAGCTTCTACATCCAGCTTGCTTTAAAAAACATTGTTACCTTGTATACTTGGCAGAACAGAGAGCCAGGCAGACTGGTTGGCCTCCCCTATATAATTGGAGACCTTACAAATATATTCTCCAGCGTCCGCCTCTGTCACATTGTACAGTGTCAGCACTTCAGCATTGGAACTATTTATCCCCGAATGCTAGAATAGACCAATAACACAGGAGAACAATGTCACTGCTGCCCAAAACGGACACCAATCTGTCTATGGTCCCACCACCAACGCATCATAAGAATACTCCTTCCACTTCATACAGGTATCAGCGTCAAAACATTGAGGGTTTGGGGTTTGTTTGGGTTTTTTTTGTTGTTTGGGGTTTTTTTTAAATCCAAAGCATCACATGAGGAGTTAGAAAACATTAGCATGGGGGGAAAAAGCACCTGGGCCGGTACACCAGCTACGTGGAACAAGATGGTATAGAGCTGGCTGTCCTGCCCGCCAACGCGCTGAGTTTTGGCAATGCCACCCAGCTTGGAAAACTTTGGAGTTTCTT